TTCCATTAGGAGCGACATCCATGCATTCAAGCCAAGAACGAAATAGCCATACAAATGTCTCAGTGTCCTCATGAGAAATTAACCCATAACCTAACAACGTCGAATGTCCATGATGATTAACCCCCACAAAAGCAGCAAATGACATGTCATACTTGTTCGTCAGATACGTTGTGTCGAAGGTGATAACATCACCGAATTCTTTATATGTAGCCCTACATCTAGTATGAACCCATAGCACATTCTGTAATCGACTCTCTTCATCTACATCAATCATGTACCAGAAATTTGAATTCTCCTTTTGCATTTTCCTAAAATACTCAAGTACTACGGAAGCATCTCCAACTCCAAGTCGTAGCTTTCTCACTTTTTCAATGTAGTTCCTACAATCTTTTTCTAGAAACGTCAAATTCTCTACACCTCCTGCCTCAACTAAACATGACTGAAAATTTTTACACGGTCTAATCACAGCCACATCATTAACTTCAAGTCGTCTTTTCACATAAGGTTGTATCGTTCGGTTAACCTTTAAATATCTTATTTTTGTCGGACTTGTAAGATCATGATTATGTTCAAGTACAACTGATTTAATTTCCCATTTGCATTCACCATTCAAAGCTGCATTAATCCGACTCTTACAATCTGTTCTGGCAACAGATTGTTTTTTCAACTGGACTTACATCTCTCCTTTCCAGAACAAGAACATGCCACTATCACATATCTCATCTCTCCATCTTCGCCTTTCTTTGATGTACGTATCATTGCTTCAAATCCCATTTTGTTACCATACCGTTTGTAATACTTCATCAGACTATCAACTGAATCAACTACCATTCCAATATGAGGCTCTACTTCTTCCTCTGCACATCACATATCTTCTAATTCATCACGTTCATTTTCCTGATTTAATAGTTTTATAATATATAAAATTAGAATGTACTAATACAATACATCAAAATAAACAATACGATACAATAAATTTAAAATCATGTTAACGAAAAAGTTAAGGTTTCGAGCACAATTTACCTTAATATCATTGAAATGAGGCAAACTGGACTCTTCCATATTTTGAGGCAAACTGGACTCTTCCATATTCTGTAATTTAATGCAAATCCAATACTAGTGTTCACGTTCACGAATCTGATTCATAATAATCACCAACAAATTTTCTCTATCAGTTTTTTTCTATTGTAACATATATTCAATCCAAAATATAATACAAAACTAAATAAATGCATAAGTTATATAAAAATCAGTTAACAACCTGGACAAATCTTTCTGATCTCCCTTTCCATTGTAAAACACTAAATAAATGCATAAGTTATATAAAAATTGGTTAACAACCTGGACAAATCTTTCTAATCTCCGTTTCCACTGTAAAAAATGGTTTGATGAAAAGTTTATAGCTTTCGTTCTTCACACAGTAGCTGTAAAATGAGGAAAAAACGTTTGTTGTAGAAAGAAATGGCTGAGAAATGCAAACACAACATAGAGGCGAAGAACAGACGGCAACGATGAAGCAAAAGGGGACGAAGAATTTTGGCGCTGGTTTTCTTTCGCTCGAAGAATTTTGGCGCTTGATGTTGGAGAAGCTAATGTTATTCGCAATAAACAAAAAAAAATTATTAAGAAAACATTTAATTTTTTTTTTTTAAATTTTAATTACATTAAAGGATATGGACGCCTGTCCACAATGAAGGGACGACCGTCCACCATTTATGGATGGCCGTCCAATGTTTTAATTTTATTTTTTAAAATAATTACTTTTGGACGGGCGTCCATTACTTACGGACGCCCGTCCACACATAAAGGACGACCGTCCACAATTTATGGACAACCGTCCATAGTTTTATTTGAATTTGAAACAACAAAAGAATGGACGGGGGTCCATTCCTTACGAACGCCCGTCCTTTGCCCGTCCACAGTGAAAGGACGGCCGTCCACAATGTTTGGACGGCTGTCCAAAGATTTTAAGGGACGGTAGTCCAGAATTGGTGGACAGGCGTCCCCAAAGTTTTTTATTTTTTTTATTTTCATATTTGGGTAAAGAACAGGTGTCCATTATTTGTCGGCGCCCGTCCAAAAGTAATGGACGGCCATCCCTAATGTTTAACAATTTTTTTTATTGTATTTTATTTATGGACGGGCGTCCCGTCATATATGGACCCCCGTCCATATAATATGTACGGGAGTCCATGTGAGTGAGCGGCCATCCATATTCACTAGAAAAAAATGGATAGAAAAATCAGGTGCTTGGGTACACGTAGGCCAGTACACATTTTCGGTGCAAAATACTCGGTGTCCATAGCTTTGTTGGTATGCTATATAGATTACTAAATTGCCCTCTTTTTAAAATATTAATATAATATTATTTTTATTATTATTATTTGAATAATTTCTTTTAACCCCCAACATTTGAAATTTTTCTAAAACACCTTAGTCATATAAAACTTTAATTTGTAACAAAATCACCCACACCCACCCTAACCATTACTGGCAGCCAGTCACTACCATCGGCCATTGTTGATAGTCGCCGTAATGATGCATGACTAGCCTGATCTAATCGGCTGTGCTCTAGTAAGGCTGTTTCTGGCCATTTTTTGACCAGATCTGGTCGTGAAAAGGCCACCGTTTCACGACCAAAGATCTGACCTTTTCACGACCAAATTTGCCAAAAATGATCTGACTGACACACAGCCGGCCAAATCCGGTCGACCGTGTGTCGTTCTGGTGACTGCCGACGGCTGGCGGTCCTCTTGAGTCTTAGGTGGTTGGGGTGGTGGCTATGGTCTTAGGTAATTTGGTTGATGTACAAGGGTATTTCTGTCTTAAAAATCCTGAGTATGAGGTTAAAATTGTCCATAATTTTTTTGTAAATTATTTAGATAACAAGGCATTATTGTCCTAAAATTTTATTAATAAGGGGTAAAATGGTAACAAAATTAAGATTACTAAGTAATCTTAAAATGCCTAAGAAACTATAGATAATAAAATTACCTCCTATATTATCAATAATAATTACTATTGATTTTGGAAGATTATCGAAACCTTATATTACTTGCACTGTTTTAAAACCTGGACCGGACCGGTCCAATTGGGACCCGGATGCTTCTCCAGTAAGGTTCAGGTTTTAGGGAGTTTTTGCAGTATTTCAAATTTATAGGGACTAATATGTAATTTTTAGGGGTGTTTTGGAGATATGTCAAAAGTTTGGGGATTAATTGGTAATTTTTGGGGGCATTTTAAATAAATAAAAATTTTAGGGACTAATTTGACATTTTACGGTATTTTTGTAATATATAAAATTTAAGGGATTAATTTATAATTTTTTTAAAAATAAAACTATTTTTGACGTCACTGGTCCAACCGATTGAACTGGTCGACCTGTGACCCAGTCACCTTACCAGGTCTCACACCCAGTCACCTTACCAGGTCTCACAACGGGTCGGGTTTTAAAACAATGATTACTTGACAACCAAACGTAGTAATTCAGTGATAGGAGATTACCCCCAACCAAACACATAATTAGGGTGATCGGTAACACATTCTTTATAATATTTAATAAAATTTCCAAGAGATCCAATAAGAATATCTCATTTGTATGAATTGTTTACGACAACAGCCTTCTCCAACAGTTATGCAAACAAATGTGCTTTGTTTATATGGAAAATTATGATAATATCATTGTTTTAAAACCCGATCCAACCCGACCGTTTTAATCGGGACTCGAAAGCTTCACCAGGTCGGGTTTACATTATTCTTATTCACCAAAAACCTTAGAATTTGGGATGACGATTGACGAACAATTGAAGGCCAGGATGTTGAGGCTTTTGAAGAAAAGGTGTCAGTGAGTGTAATGGTGGCGACGGATTTGATTTCCGATAAGTAAATTGGCCGAAAATAAAAAGGCATTGGCGGTAGCAACAACCAGCTTTTGTTGACAATTGGCGAAGCTAAAGGAGGTAGGATGAGGTGGCTTTTGGCTGGGAGGAAGAGGGGAGTATTTTCGAGGTGATGAGGAGGGTTGTTGATGCCAACGTCAATGACATCTGACTTGGAATGTTGCCGACGATGTTGGTGTTAGTGAGATTTAACCGAAATCGAACCGATATCAACCAGATCTTGGGTAGATTTTCAGGGGAATGAGCTCAAGGGATAATTGAAGTGTCACTGCCGCCAAACAGTCGTTGGCCGATTCGTATTTAGGGTGTGTTTGCTAAATTTCAAACTTATAAAAACTTAATGTAATTTTTAAGGGTATATTTGCTAAATTTTAAAATTTCAGGAGTGTATTTACCGGTCAACCCAAGACCCGAAAACTTTGCCAAGTTTCATCCCGATTGGATTTTAAAACATTGGATAATATTTCAATCATTCAAATAGGGAAGAAAAGCATCATCTTGTAGACATTTAAAATTTTCCTCAAACCTTTTATTATTGACATTCAAAAAATACGGTTTTTCAGACAACATATAATATTTCGTCATTCAAAATCCAAAACTATGATTGGGGCAGTGTCTATACAAGAAAATACAATTCCACCAACTCAAAGTTGGTCAGAAGCTTATCCTCCTTAAACCTTTATATTGAATTTCATCCTGCTCTGGGCCGATAGGAATTAGATAGTAAAACTTCCATTTCCTATCCATCATCTGAGTTTGAGGTCAAACCCTCGTCACCTGTTTGCGTAATTATGGTAAAAAGAAAAATGAGGAAAAAGGATGAAGAAAGAAATATCCAAATAATCAAACTAAGTCGGGAGATTTATATTTTAAAATTAAAGATTTTGGAACAGACAGAAATAATAAAATCGGATTAGGGCTTGCAATGAGGTAAGAAATCAATGGCACAGACATTGTTTTTAATAAGTGAGATAACCAGCGCAGACATGCAAGTAAGTTTATTTTTTCTTATCTTCAGTCACTACCCATTCAGAGAGAGCCAGTGAAGAGGAAAGGACTGAATTTACAGAAAAGTTAACAAGTAGAAACTGCTTCTATAGTCTAAGCTTGTGAAAATGAAATATCAGATAAAAATGTCAATATGCGCATGCAGCCACAAAGCACAGAATGAAGCATTGCAGGAAACTGACTTGGAATTTGCAATGAGGAGTTCAGGACCTATAGTGTCAATATCAAAAGTAGTGATATATTCAAGTCAAAGACATGAAAAAAGAAACGAGTGAATTAGAAGAAATAATGATTGACTGGGATACGGTAAATATCATGACAGCATTTTACGAAAATATAGGCCTATAGTAAGCAGTTAGGTTGATGGAAAGATAAAGCATTTCTACCTTCTCATTAATCCTGATAGTCCAAGCATCAGTTTTGGATCCATAAACAGGGTCTCCAACCACATAGGTCGGTGGGTGAACAAAATTCCTCAGGAGTGGAACCCTATCAGGAGCATATTCATCATCACTATCATAATATCGATCTGGTCTGAGCACTTTGAGTACCATGGCTAGGAGAAAAGATAGCCCCTGCATGTGAAGGGGTGAACTGCAATATAAGAACCAAAGAGACACAAAAGCTAATGCTAGAAGTTTAAACAATTATCATGTTAAATCTGGAAACCACAAACATTTTTTTTTTCTTCTTTTAGGCGATTGAGCAACAGATAGACCCCAACCTAATCACTACCTCCAACAAGGTCAACCTGACACCTCTAAATATGGGAGATTCACGTGGCTAAAAAGATGTTCGCCAAGTGAGGCAAAAGGAAAAAAAGAGTTTTGGAAAAACTCAAAAAAGAAAGAATGTAGATGGAGCATTTTCAACCAAAAAGCATACAAACCAAATACTCTTACACATCACATATTATTATTTGTTTACTATCTTTTTCAGTCTCATCTAAAAGGCATCCCAAACTAGTATCATCACTTAAAAAACAGAGGCAGATCCGATTACTGCAGAAGAAATTGATCAAGGGAAGCAATCACTATAGGACCTAATAAAAACCAAATGACACTTTTGGGATCTATGAATATGGTTTAGCATGAATCATTGCCAAATGGGACACCATATACAATTAAAATGTAGACTGCAGCTTTCATATATACTCAGTCATTTCTATAGCTATAACATCATACATATTGTGTCTACTAATCCTGCTAAGTCCTACTAAATTAATAGTCAAGACTCATTCACTAAACAATTTTCACCAACAAAAACATGTCGAAAGGGAGGCAGAGAGACAGGGATACCTGTACAGAGACAATTGACAAGCCTATCCATTTGCAGAACTGAAAATTTGACCTGATGAAATCTTTAAATTGAGTAAAACTCCCACTTGGATCCGCTGGAAAGTCCTGGTGCAAAAAGTCGGAATATATCAACCCAGGCCTCACATGTTTATTCCAAGAAAAAAAAATGACTCACTTAAATTGTCTCCAAACACATGAGAGATCAATAAAATTCAAATCAATGAATGTTTTAACATGTAACATACCTCCTCCCAATCACGGTTCAGAAATACATCAGCAGTCACCACAGCCTCCAGCAAAAGAAGCAAAATGACAAACAACATATACTGTACACAGTTAAGTCAACAATGAACTCATTACATCAGATTCTAGAAAGTACACCTCCATTGAAGCTATACTCAGATTCAGATTCACTTCATAACTAAACTAAATCAAAGGAACAATAAAAAATTAAATCCCCAAATGCATGAACATAAAAGGAAATTCATATATTTTTTTACATATTTAGGAAAAGGATACTAAATAGAGGCAGCAACCGTTTACAGTTTCTGCAGCAATATGACCTGAGCATGCGATAACACACAAAGTGACCCCAAGGCCAAGGAAAGTGTAAATAAACCTGTAATACAAGCAAAAATAATTGCTTAAAGTATAATCCATAAATAACAAGTTCTTTTACTATCATTATTTACAAAAAAAAATAATTAAATTAAAAAAAAAATGTCCTCAACTAAAACTATGCACAAGTAAGAAGTGAAGTATCTAGAACCAGCAACCCACGCTTTTCTGATTGATTATGTCCCATAGTTTCAACTCACACAGACACAAACCAACTTGTTAATTACCACAGTCAATCCTTTAGAAGAGAGAACTCCGATATATTCAGTCTAACAAAAGTACAATTGGAAAAGTCTATTTGCACCTTTTATTTAGAGAGAGACAAAAGAAACATGTTTTACAAAACCAGTCTATTTGGCCCACTAATCCCTCCCCCCCTGCCACTTCTATCGCAAAAGGAAATTTAGTCCACATAAAATGATCAATAAACTTAAACAATTATTAATCAACAATTAAAACCCTTAAATTTCAAAACAAATACAACTTCAGAAACCAGTGGAACAAAATTCAGGAAATTTTTCCTTTTGTTTGCTCAGAATACTAAGAGAATCATCAAATTCTAGTTTCATATTATCTTAATATATCTTTCTCAACTTCCAAATAGTAAAAATTCAATAGAAATTAACTCAAAGCATCACATAGCAAAACACAAAAGCAATCTTCCAATTCTAAAAATTACAATTACCAAACCCAGATAATAAAACATCCAACAAATCTGAAATCAATTTCCCAGCAACCAAACACACCCACAAATGAAAAACTCTAAACAAACAAAAGAAACATACCATGGAGCCGGACCATCAGAATCATCACCAAAGGGGAACTCACCCATGTGTTTCTGCCAAACCCTAATCAACCACAATGCATACAAAATCATAGCAATTCCCACCATTCCCATCAATGAATTCACCATCTTTAATAACGACATAATGCAACTTCTCACGACTCTTGCCATTTCTCGTTGCCCAAAAACCCTAACCCAAATTATGAATTAATGTTAAGAAACAGGCATCGAGCAAAACAACTGCAGAAAACAATGAACCACGGTTCAAGAGTGTCGGAGTAAGCCACGAAAAGAGTCTTTGGGGATTGGACCAGAGTCACCAGCTACTCGGATTCATGGCTGAATATTGACTTTAAGGTTTCCTGTAATTTTATTTTACAATACTTGTGGGTTTTTTTTTTTTTTTTTNTAAGAAGTATCTAGAACCAGCAACCCACGCTTTTCTGATTGATAATGTCCCATAGTTTCAACTCACACAGACACAAACCAACTTGTTAATTACCACAGTCAATCCTTTAGAAGAGAGAACTCCGATATATTCAGTCTAACAAAAGTACAATTGGAAAAGTCTATTTGCACCTTTTATTTAGAGAGAGACAAAGGAAACATGTTTTACAAAACCAGTCTATTTGGCCCACTAATCCCTCCCCCCCTGCCACTTCTATCGCAAAAGGAAATTTAGTCCACATAAAATGATCAATAAACTTAAACAATTATTAATCAACAATTAAAACCCTTAAATTTCAAAACAAATACAACTTCAGAAACCAGTGGAACAAAATTCAGGAAATTTTTCCTTTTGTTTGCTCAGAATACTAAGAGAATCATCAAATTCTAGTTTCATATTATCTTAATATATCTTTCTCAACTTCCAAATAGTAAAAATTCAATAGAAATTAACTCAAAGCATCACATAGCAAAACACAAAAGCAATCTTCCAATTCTAAAAATTACAATTACCAAACCCAGATAATAAAACATCCAACAAATCTGAAATCAATTTCCCAGCAACCAAACACACCCACAAATGAAAAACTCTAAACAAACAAAAGAAACATACCATGGAGCCGGACCATCAGAATCATCACCAAAGGGGAACTCACCCATGTGTTTCTGCCAAACCCTAATCAACCACAATGCATACAAAATCATAGCAATTCCCACCATTCCCATCAATGAATTCACCATCTTTAATAACGACATAATGCAACTTCTCACGACTCTTGCCATTTCTCGTTGCCCAAAAACCCTAACCCAAATTATGAATTAATGTTAAGAAACAGGCATCGAGCAAAACAACTGCAGAAAACAATGAACCACGGTTCAAGAGTGTCGGAGTAAGCCACGAAAAGAGTCTTTGGGGATTGGACCAGAGTCACCAGCTACTCGGATTCATGGCTGAATATTGACTTTAAGGTTTCCTGTAATTTTATTTTACAATACTTGTGGGTTTTTTTTTTTTTTTTTTCATCGAAAAAATTATTTTATATATTTATATTTAAATTAAACTTTAAACGTACGCAAGAACGTACTTGTAATGTGAAGTGCACTTAAAACAAATAAAATAATAAAGTTTAATATTATTGAATGTCTGGATAACATAATATAAATTTTAAGTAAAATGTGAATAAGTTTTGAGATTATTGTTTCTTAATTCAAACTACATATAACAAGTTGGGATAATTATACTTAAAACATGTTAATCAAATCAAAATTTTATGTAAGATATTGGACAAATGGTTTAAATATGTCCACAGGCATTAATGTAAATTGTAAATGAAACAGACGAATATTAGATTAAATTAAATAGCACCCATTTCAATTTTTTGCACCAAAAAGGGGAAAAATATCACATGTCCAGCTGATCACAGCATCAATTATTGAGTCATCTATTAAGGACCTCAATCTGACAAAACATGGCCAAATTACTTTACATATATGGACTAAGTTCCAAGTTCTTTGCAGTTTGTAGCAGCTAATTGGAATCAAAATCCAAGTACATTCGATAAGCATGTCGATCAGGAGAGTAGTAACCTTGTGTTAAGGCATCAACTTGGAAACCCAATTTCTTGTAGAGATTCATGGCAGCAGTTCTTAAGGTGTCAACATGAAGCATTATGCGGCTAACATTTCGGCTTCTGCATTTCTCAATTGCTGCTTTCAGCAATGCCTCTCCATGGCCTTGTCTCCTACAACTCTCCTTCACTAAGTATTCATTTTCAATCAGTGAAACAGGAATCACAAATAATGAATTATCATATTTAATATATTTGGTCACATACTTCTTTTTTGGAGACATTTATCAAACAGATAATAGGCGTGTTAAAGATCTACCAAATGAATTAATAGCACTTAACCAATGCACAAACTTTTGAATATGTAAATGAAAATAATGCAGCGTGGAAGAAATCGTGGAACCTGCAAGTTTGGTGATAGAAGCGAACAAGGAAGAAGGCCAAGAGTACATGACATAGCCCACAACTTGTCCATTAATGTATAAATAAAGCAAGGCAGAGTTTTTCTTTTTGAGTTCCTCATCAAAGGACCTGGCAAGTGATTCATGTTTAGGAAAAATCTTTCTCTCCATCTTCACAATCTCTTCCACTACCTTACTCCAGTTGGTTGAGTTTCTTTGTAGCTCCATAATGCCCTCACTACTTCCCATGCCTCGTGTCTCCTGGCTTGTTGCACTTGCTCTCTGCTCTCCTGTAACTAAAGTTGTTGGTTAATTAAAAAAATCTAATTAATAATATTCGGATATGATATCAAAAACTCTCTTCTGCACCAAAATTGTAACTCAAGTCTTGATTATATATATATNAATGTTGGGATAATTATACTTAAAACATGTTAATCAAATCAAAATTTTATGTAAGATATTGGACAAATGGTTTAAATATGTCCACAGGCATTAATGTAAATTGTAAAATGAAACAGACGAATATTAGATTAAATTAAATAGCACCCATTTCAATTTTTTGCACCAAAAAGGGGAAAAATATCACATGTCCAGCTGATCACAGCATCAATTATTGAGTCATCTATTAAGGACCTCAATCTGACAAAACATGGCCAAATTACTTTACATATATGGACTAAGTTCCAAGTTCTTTGCAGTTTGTAGCAGCTAATTGGAATCAAAATCCAAGTACATTCGATAAGCATGTCGATCAGGAGAGTAGTAACCTTGTGTTAAGGCATCAACTTGGAAACCCAATTTCTTGTAGAGATTCATGGCAGCAGTTCTTAAGGTGTCAACATGAAGCATTATGCGGCTAACATTTCGGCTTCTGCATTTCTCAATTGCTGCTTTCAGCAATGCCTCTCCATGGCCTTGTCTCCTACAACTCTCCTTCACTAAGTATTCATTTTCAATCAGTGAAACAGGAATCACAAATAATGAATTATCATATTTAATATATTTGGTCACATACTTCTTTTTTGGAGACATTTATCAAACAGATAATAGGCGTGTTAAAGATCTACCAAATGAATTAATAGCACTTAACCAATGCACAAACTTTTGAATATGTAAATGAAAATAATGCAGCGTGGAAGAAATCGTGGAACCTGCAAGTTTGGTGATAGAAGCGAACAAGGAAGAAGGCCAAGAGTACATGACATAGCCCACAACTTGTCCATTAATGTATAAATAAAGCAAGGCAGAGTTTTTCTTTTTGAGTTCCTCATCAAAGGACCTGGCAAGTGATTCATGTTTAGGAAAAATCTTTCTCTCCATCTTCACAATCTCTTCCACTACCTTACTCCAGTTGGTTGAGTTTCTTTGTAGCTCCATAATGCCCTCACTACTTCCCATGCCTCGTGTCTCCTGGCTTGTTGCACTTGCTCTCTGCTCTCCTGTAACTAAAGTTGTTGGTTAATTAAAAAAATCTAATTAATAATATTCGGATATGATATCAAAAACTCTCTTCTGCACCAAAATTGTAACTCAAGTCTTGATTATATATATATATATATATATCCAACTTCTGAAAATGGTCCCTAATTAGATGTAAAAGCTGAATGAATTACAAAATAATTACCTGCTTTGTTCTATACATAATTAATGCATGGATCTTCAACAGGGATGCATTTGACACTTGTTGAAGCATGTGGAAACCAACTCATTCTATGATCATACAATCAAATTAACATGTACACCACCCTTCATGCAACCGTAAAGACACACCAAAATTAAAATACAAACCCTAAAGCCCAGAATATTATTTTAAAACATTACTAAACACCTTTATATTTGTTTGACTTTTTAAAAGCTTGATTCAGGAACTTATTCTCTGGGACACCCATTATATGCATGTAATTCTTTAAATAAATAAAGTCTATAAATTATAACAAATAATTTATAATTTAAATTGATGTAATTCTTTAACATTAAATTGATGTGATATTTCATTTTTTTTTTTTAAATCCAAATTAACAACACATACAATTAATAAATTTTTTTTAAAGTTTTATTGATTTTTTGAATATATAATTGATGTATGGTATGCGTAATGCATGCATAAAAATTCTTTTAATTAATAATCCAAATAATGGAGGCAGTTAATTGTGGTGCAATGGATATTCGATATCTTCTTCTTCTTCTTCTTCTTCTTTAACTGTAGCTGCTTTAACGACCAAGATAATAATAATTTATTAAGGAAATCGAAACCATATTGGGTTTAGCTTTATGTTTATAGTGCTCTTTTCATAGGAGATCGTGCGTATTTGTGTTACATTATTAACTTTTAGTCAAAGGAGAATGGATATTTTATACCATTATTTCCTTCAATTAATCCTGCCAATGTGACCACTAACACTTATATGTAATTGATGCGTTGTAGCTTTACGACACATACGGATACCCACTAGTTAAATTAATTACAATAATTAATTATTTCAAGATTATTTGTCAGCATGATCACATACTGCAATTACACATAAATATAATATTATAAATTGATTGAGTATGAACATGCGCATACATTTTCAAGCATCTGTGTTGAAAATTTTACAGTCAATCCTTGGGGTATGAGTTAGTTAAAATTTGGACAAAAGATTCATATTATTTTAGTCTTTGGACAAAAATAATGATACGAGTATGTCCAAATTCCATACTCAACTAACAAAACCATTATTTAAAATTCAACTGACAAAATCTATTTGATATCTTTAATTAGCATATCTATTTAGACTCTTGTATATGTCAAGATTCCTCAAACAAAAATTAACAATATAGTTTCATCCAAATATATCTTCATATGTTGGTTAAAGAATCTCTCACGTTCAAGTCGATAGCAAATAGTGTACATTAACATATACTAATGTTAATTAAGATTACATGTAATTAAATACAAAGTTTTGCAGGCGAAAACATGTTGTAAAATGATGCAAATTATGCTTGTTATACATAACTTCAAACTAAATAAACTATATATTATAGCTGAAATATTTGAATAACTGATGATTGAAATAAGTCTTCTTCTGCCGACAAGCTTCGGCACATGCAATGTCCTAGCTTCAGACAGAAGAAGAATTTTATGTGATCCTCCTTGGAAAATTGTGGAGATTTTCTTTTTATATAGCTACTTTGGAAGGATACATATATAAAAAGAATCTTTTCAAATTGATCATCTTCTTCTATAACTGGACATTGGGATCGATCAGTGTTTGAAGATAACAAACAAACAAAACAAAAATATTTTCACTTTTTTGATTCATTGAAATCTGGTATCTAGTTTCCACCAATTAAGGTTTACTTTTTGGTTCAAGTTTGGTGCTTGATTTAAGGCGGGCAACTTGATTATTTCACTAAATAATGGGGGGGAAAATGACTTTAGTGGAGGCAGCAATATTATTAGTGGCAATGAATCTAAATCTTTCGAGTATGAGGAAAGATGGAATTGGAGCTTGCATGTGTGTCTATACCTATTAACTTATCTATTTTTGTTGAATTAATGAGTCATGTCACACCACCATGACCATCGCATGTGATCATACCTTAACATCATTTATTATTACATATTAGAAGTGAATTCAATGGGGTTGTCTTGTCTTGTCCACCACTTTGAATTTTCCGAAGTGTTGTAGACTGCCCAAGCACTTTTATTAGCACTATTGAAAGGGACCTTGCGCTTTTAGTTAACTTCTCCAAAAGTTCCAGTCTTCTTCTCAAGAGGTAAGACCAGAAGACACTTCTCAACATCAGAAGTGAAGCAGGCAAAGTGACCAAACCTGTGTTAAAAAATGTAAAAGCACCACATGCTATAATCAACAAATGCTACATTATTATGCATAAAGTTTATCCATGAATGACAGAATGATACAATAAACAACGGAAACTCGATAACATCTATACACGAAGCATAACAGTTAACTATTTGTCAGCACTGAACAGCAAATTTAAAAATAATCCATACAATGATGCAATGAAAAATTTGATGGAGAAGAGATGAAGTCCTTAACATACCATAAAATCCATAAAGATTATGCAGAACACATAACTAGCAAGATAGGAATGACTGGCATCTTTCAAACCAGCTTTAGAGGAAATGTTGAATGGTTCAAATGTTTTTGTAATACATACTTTTAGGATTTAATCTTCATCTACTTATTGTAAACTTCTTTAGTTATGACTGATTATGATGATGAATTTTTTATGTATACAAGTTTTAGAAGAAAGTAGAAAATGGTGAGAGCAAAAAATACAACCATTCCCCATGAAGGTACATCATCATCTGAAATCCAATTTCGAGACTTGCAACAAAAAAAGCAATACGAGGAGATGTTAAAAAGAGATATTTTCCTTGGAAGAAGTTTGGATTTAGGACTTATAACAAGTTTGGGTTTAGGTGATGAAATGAATGGTTGGATTCATGATTTGAAATGGGACCGGTTGGTGAGTATGAGATATAATGGATATAAGCATTTGAGCTATGAGTTTTTTGGTAGTTTGGAAGTTGTGAAGACATATATTGATGAGTTTCCGGCGTATACAATGTTTTTTAGATTAAAGAATCAGAACTTTGTAGTGAGACTACAAGATTTAGCAACCTGGCCAGGATTTGATTTTGAATGTTTGGATAGCGTATCTAGAATGTGGGATTCCAAACAAGCTTGGATAGATGTTTATGGGATAGGGATTTACCATCCACATAAGTGTAAATCTACAAAGTTAAAGAATCCTGCTATGAGAGTATTTCACAGATATCTAACTTACACATTTAATGGTAGGAAAAAGACAAATAGAAATGTGACGGTTAAGGATTTAATGTTCATGGAAGCAGCAATATCAGTGAGGCAAGTCAATTCAGCAAAGTTATTAATTAAGAAGTTGGGAGAGGTTCAAGCAGAAAAAGGAGAAGTATATTGGGGGATGCTTGTTATGTTAATATGTGAAAAGTTGGGTATTCAGATCACCCCTAATGATCAAGCAAATAAGATTAAGTTTTCTGCAAATAATGTGTTGGGGGATGTGACATTGTGGAAAATGAGTTTGATTAAAAAGAATATGGCAGGAGAATGGCTTGTGGTTAGGGATGAAATAGAGGGAGATGCAACAGTTTAGGAAGGTGTCAGTGTTCTAGAAAGGGTAAATGAAGGACAAGCCTATGTGCGCAAAAGAAGAAGAACGAGTATTGAACTTGGATCATCTCAGAATATAGAAGATATGTCTTCTCATACTTTAGAAGAAATAGTAAGTAGATTTAAGTGGATGGAAAAGTTTCAAGAGGACCGTTTTTCACGTATTGAGAGGAAAATGCAGGAACAACATGATCAATTGCAAAGTGATTTCAATTCGTTCGCATCAAGAATAAAAGAAACAATTGACATCCTTAGGGAATGCATGGCAGAAATTTTCAACATGATGAAGAACTTCTCAACAGTCTCTTCCTCCTCTAGTCAACCTCCACCCCCTGCACCATGATGAAAAATTTCTCAACAGTCTCTTCCTTCTCAACATTTTTGGGGAACGCACTATGAATGTTAATTATTATTATGTGTATTTCAAATACTAAGGGTTATGTACGAATATTATAGTTGCCTCTTGTTTATAAATATGTTAATTGTTAAAGATTGATTTCAACGGATGTTCTTGATAAAGATTGCCTTTTGTTTATAAATAGATTTGCCTTTTGTTTATACATATCTCAACTACTCTTTTGAATGTATATGTATATATAATACTAGACATACCAAAAGACATCAAAATTCAAATCTCAAATGAAATGAATATCTGAATTTCCATCTACAATCGAAGTCTGCAATCTGATGATAATAGATATTGAAAACATTCATAATAAGTTACATTAAGGTAATTATCATGAATTCACAACCCTACAGCAGATAGTCTACTCATACACAACGAATGACCAAAATACTAAAAACAAAACAACTAAATCAGCATACAACTCAACTGCATTCGGCAGAAATTAACCAAAGCTTGAATAATTTCTACCAAATACAATTCTATATGCTTCAACCTGTCAACAATATCAAATATCTCCCAACGAGTCATGTTCATCATTTATAAACTCGTGTCCAGTACAACAATTACTTTGTTCTACGAGATTCTGAACAGGACCAGTGGACAACTATCATTGTTTAACAACCACAATTTAGCACACGTTATAGAAAACTTAATCCAATTACAATTATACAACATACATAACACATACTTGGGTAGTAACAACATCATTCGACAACACTTAAGTTTCTGCATCGGCCACGGAAGTAAATGAAAGAAATTATTCATTTTCTCGTTGTACTGATGATCCTTTTCCTAAAAAGTAGCATAACACATTAATAATCAAGTCGATATTATTATAAACTTCAAATAAGTAAATAATGTTTAAAAAAAGAAATATCATGTAAGAATAGGTGTATAACTCATACCAATTGTTTTTGTTATTTTTTATTTTTAACCCTATATACAATTTCTTCAACCTTCAATTGCTTTCTTCTACATGGAGGACGACCTTTGCTATGAACTACCTATGGACTAATAATTAGACTATTCCTCTCTTTCGGAGGACTGTCCCCATCTGTACTACTCAAACCAGTTGTGGAAGAGATGTTTACTTTTCTACCAAGCCCTCACTCACTTTCCTTTTGCTCCAACTTTTTTCTCATGTCAATCATAAACTCTGTCAACATATTATAATGTTCCTCATTGTTTGATGCCATATCGGCTATTGTCAGCATTATATTAGACAACTTATTAAAACATTGTCCTTCAATGTTGGTGCTCCACCTATTATAACTCACCTTAATTTTCGTATGACATCTGTTTATATTGTTCCTCCAACGCCGTAAAATATCCTTTTCTGGAACATGTAAAACCCTTTTATGAATCAACACCATAATGGCATGTCTGCATAGAATCCCCCTGAACTCAAACAAATGACAAGTACAACGAATATCACACGAACTTTCTTCTAAGTATACTGCAAAGGGAACACGGTGACTACTATCTCCAAACCAAACATCTTCTAAAACTTGATACTCCTCGTAAGAATCACACTTATTCAAAAAAGATAATTCACAATAAATCTTCCCCGCAATCTCTTCTTGAAACTCTTTAAACTTTGCAGTTGTGTATGCACTTTGAAATTGTTTCTGAATAGGGTAATTAATTATACATGGCAACCAAGATTTGAAAGATCTAAAATCAGCCTCCCTTTCTTTTTCCACTTTATCTCGCAATGCATTATCATATTGTTCCACAAATTATTTCAAAGTAGTTTTGGAATTTACATATCCATCAAAAAATGCATGTATACTTTCACTATGTTGGGTAGTAGACATACCTGCCCAGAAAGTATCTTTAAGAAATGCAGGCACTCATCGTACTCTTTCTTTGTACAATCCACATAACCATCCATTCTCGCAAAAGTTGTGCACATCAACAAATTGGTTCCACCGTTGTTCAAATTCTTCACGCGTTAAGGAATCATACATAATATTTTGTAACTTAAACTTTATAGTTTCATATTCCTTATACCCTCTTAACTTTTTAGGCAGTTTCTTCATTAAATGCCACAAACACCACCTATGTCTTGTACTAGGGAAAACGATCTCAATTGCATTTTGCATGGCCTTATCCCGATCAGTGATAATTCCATTAGGAGCAACATCCATGCATTCAAGCCAAAAATGAAATAGCTATACAAATATCTCAATGTTCTCATGAGAAATTAACGCACAACCTAACAATAACGAATGTCCATGATGATCAACCCCCACAAAAGCAGCAAATGACATATCATACTTGTTCGTCAGATATGTTGTGTCGAAGGTGACAACATCATCGAATTCTTTATATGCAGCCCTACATCTAGCATCAACCCATAACATATTCTATAATCGACTCTCTTCATCTACATCAATCATGTACCAGAAACTTGAATGCTCTTTTTGCATTTTCATAAAATACTCGAGTACTGTTGAAGCATCTCCAACTCCAAGTCGTAGCATTTTCACTTTTTCAATGTAGTTCCTACAATCTTTTTGTAGAAACGTCAAATTCTCTACACCTCCTGCCTCAACTAAACATGATTGAAAATTTTTACACGGTCTAATCCTAGCCACATTATTAACTTCAAGCCTCCTTTTCACATAAGATTGTATCGTTCGGTTAACTTTGAAATATTTTCTTTTTGTCAGACTTGTAAGATCATGGTTATGTTCAAGTACAACTGATTTAATTTTCCATTTGCATTGACCATTCAAAGCTGCACTAATCCGACTCTTACAATCTGTTTTGGCAACATGTTGCTTTTTCAAGGTATTTCTAGATTTACATCTTTCCTTCCCAGGACAAGAACATGCCACTGTCACATATCTCATCTCTCCATCATCGCCTTTCTTCGACGTACGTATCATTGCGTCAAAACCCATTTTGTTACCATACCGTTTGTAATACTTCACCAGACTATCAACTGAATCAAACACCATTCTAATATAAGGCTCCACTTCTTCCTTCGCACATCCCAAATCTTCTAATTCATCACGTTCATTTTCCTGATCATTTAATAGTTTTATAATGAACAAAATTAGAATATACTAATACAGCACATCATAAGAAATAATACAATACAATAAATTTAAAATAATGTTAAAGAAAAAGTTAAGGTTTCAAGCACAGTTTACCTCAACATCATTGAAATGAGGCAAACTGGACTCTTCCATATTCTGTAATTTAATGCAAAACCAATACTAGTGCTCGCGTTCACTAATCTGATTCACAACAATCACCAACAAATATTCTGTATCAATTATCTTCTATTGCAACATATATTCAATCCAAAATAGAATACAAAACTAAATAAATGCATAAGTTAAATAAAAACCGCTTAACAACCTCAACAAATCTTTCTAATCTGAACAGGTTTTGATTTCCCTATCTCCCTTTCCACCCTAAACAATTGTTTTATGAAAAATGGATGGCTTCCTTTCTTGTTACGGTAGTTGGCTATTCAGGAAGAAAACGGTTGTGGCTGTTGAGGAAGATACTAGTACAACGCAAACGCGAAGAACAGATGCGAAGAACAGACGCCAACGATGAAGCAAAAGTCAATAAGTATAAAATGAAGTTTTTTTTTTCTTTTATGTATCGTGTAAAAAATTTGTCGCTTTTTTTGGAGAAGTCGTATTGGAGAAGCTAATGTTTTATACAAATAGAAAAAAAAAAAAAAGTAAATTAAAAAAAATTTATTATCCCAAAAATTTGTTTTCAAATTTTTGTTTTAATTAAAACAATTGACGGCCGTCCATTATATGTGGACGCCCGTCCATCATTGAGGGACTTCTGTCCACTGTATAATGGATGGGCATCCATAAGTTTTTTTTTTAAATTTACAGTATGGACAAGTGTCCATACTATGTGGACGGGGGTCTAAAATTAAGGGACGGCCGTCTAGAAATGGTGAACGACTATCCCTTAATTTTATTTAAAATTTTATTTTTTTAAGTATGGACGAGCGTCTATTTTATGTGAACTCCCGTCCATAGTAAATGGACTCCTGTCCATGTAATATGGACGGCAGTCCATCGTTCATTTCGCATGGACGGACGTCCACATATAATGGACTCCCGTCCAATAATAGTGAACAACTGTCCATAGTTGATGAACGGTCATCCATACTATGTGGACGGGGGTCTAAAATTAAAGGACGGCCGTCTAGAAATGGTGAATGACTATCCCTTAATTTTATTTAAAATTTTATTTTTTTAAGTATGGACGGGCGTCCATTTTATGTAGACTCCCGTCCATAGTAAATAGACTCTTGTCCATATAATATGGACGACAGTCCATTGTTCATTTCGCATGGACGGACGTCCACATATAATGGACTCCTGTCTAATAATAGTGAACAACCGTCCACAGTTGATGAATGATCGTTCACTCGTAAAATATTGGTTCATGGGATATGTGACTGGTCTGAGTCACGGGATATGTCATTCGGTGTAACAATTCGGTGCACAGTATCGGTGTCTGTAGCATTGTTGTTACTTTTTAGTTCAAGTTTGGTGCTTCATTTAAGGAGGGCAACTTGATTATTTCACTAAATAATGTGCGCGGGGGGCGGGGGCGGGGCGGGCGGGTTGGGGAATGACTTTAGTGGAGGCAGCAATATTATTAGTGGCAATGAATCTAAATCTTTCGAGTATGAGGAAAGATGGAATTGGAACTTGGAGTTGGATGTGTGTCTATACCTAATTAACTATCTATTTTTGTTGAATTAATGAGTCATGTCACACCACCATGACCATGGCATGCGATCATACCTTACATCATTTATTATTACATATTACAAGTGAATTCAATGGGGCTGTCTTGTCTTGTCCACCAGTTGGAATTTCGATGGATAAGGTGCTAACACTTGCGCCAATAATTCACCACTTTTACCTCACATTCTAGTTTCTGATTTCCCTCACATTCTAATTTCTGATTTCTTGCTATCCAAACATCCATTTTTTTTTTCCCGGAAAATTGCTGTGTAGGAATACCATACAATTATATAGTAGGAGCCCATGTGCGGTTTGCCTTCCAGACGTTGATTTTAAAAATTGTTTTTGAAAAATAATTCCTAAATATATGCACATTTTCCATTAAATGAGGAGGTCAACATATTGGGCTAAGCACATTCACACTTTGGCCCGTATATTACTAATCAGTTTCCAAGACAAGACATGGAAAGAAATAAAATTTTGCATTATAATTTATAAATAACCGAGACCAACTTTTGTTACCTTTGCTATACAGAAACCAAAAATAGAAAGAAATAAAGTAAAGTTATTGTAAATTCAAGGTTCCTTATGGTACAACCGACAACTTCTTCATTATGGTAATTAATTGATCTTTTTGTAATGTAAAAATCATTTTTGTAAATGTATTCTATTTAATAAACTCCTAATCTTCTACAATATAATCTGTTGCTCTGTCAACGTCTAACGACTATTTTCCATTTCCTCACATGACCCAAGAACCAAACAATCTAACGGTCCTGTCCTCAAATTACCAAACTACCCCTTTCATTCTTTAACACTAACACCCAACGTACGGTCATGCGGATTTAACGCCTTAACCGTCGGTAGGCCCCATAGACCTAATGGCATGACTCGTAAATGATTCCAAAACCAATGTATCACATGGTCACCAAAAAGAACTAGGGAAAGCCTTCCTCTCTTCTCTTGTTCCTACCTTCTTCTATTTATAGAACCTGACACAAGGCCTTCACACTATAGCTTTTGTCTATACTAGTCAGTGAAAAAACTGTCGGCAAACCTCTAAATCACATTTTAATTTTACTGCTTTCTCGGTTTCTCTGCTTTTGCCGGGAAAGTGACGGAGTTGCTGGTGGTGGTGTTGGTGGTGGCGCCGCTTCTTTCCTTGACAATTTAATTAACACAATGCAGTTACACCGCAGTCTCAGCCAAGTCATGAAGTTGTTCCTTTTGTTGGTGTTCAAGTGTGTAGTGGTGTCCGCCAGCGTTAAACACCTTGTCACGGACCCACATTGGAAACCCGCTACTGCCACCTGGTACGGCGAGCCCGAAGGCGACGGTAGTGACGGTAAGTCCACATTATACTCTAATGATGCCTGTTGTTAGAGTTCTTAGTCAATATCTGTTTTAAGCTAGTGAGTTTTCTCTTGAACCTTTTTTTTTCTGCTGTCACTTCTGTGAGTTGACTCAGAAGTGAGCTGGGTCAACTCGGCTGGTTAAATAAAAGTGTTGAGCTTTTTCAGAGCCTAATTGGCTATTTTTCTAAATTTAGGAGGCAAGTGAGTTATGTTAAGTAAGAAATGTTAATGTTTGGTGCAGGAGGGGCATGTGGGTATGGGTCATTAGTGGACGTAAAGCCGTTGAGGGCCAGGGTGGGTGCGGTTAGCCCAATACTTTTCAAGAACGGAGAGGGGTGTGGGGCATGTTACAAAGTGAGGTGCTTGGACAAGAGCGTATGCTCGAGAAGGGCCGTCACCATTATTGTAACGGACGAGTGCCCAGGTGGATACTGCTCCAATGGTCGCACCCACTTTGACCTCAGTGGTGCAGCCTTTGGTCGCATGGCCGTTACCGGCGAGGGCTCCCAGCTCCGCAACCGAGGCGAGCTCCCAGTCATCTACAGGAGGTACGTGTCTCGCCATTCCTTTGTTTCAACGGCTGCCTTCTCTCTTTTGTCACTTCTATTTTGTCACTTTACGCCTATTTTTTTAATGACCAAGTTCCTTCTATAAATGTTTATATTTATCTTTATTCTTATTTGTCGTTCTTCATTAATTCAGGACGCCGTGTAAATATCCTGGAAAGAACATAGCGTTCCATGTGAACGAAGGTTCGACTGATTACTGGCTGTCCATTCTTGTGGAATTTGAGGATGGAGAAGGAGACGTGGGATCGATGCATATAAGAGAAGTAAGATTTATGTTTCAGTGTTTCTCTTTCCTTTTTTTTTTTTTTTTTTAACATTTAAGTAAATAAAGCTGAAATAAATGAGACACGCTCCAAGTCAAAAAAAGCGTGAAGAAATAACATGCTTTGAAGTCGTGCTTGTTCAAAAGTGCTGCACTTTCTCATTTCCCTAAACGGACCTTCATAAAATAAGATGATTAGAACAGTAACAACGGTAATTACAGTATGGGATTAAGATTAATCATTTTTAATCTTTATTAAAAGCAGACAAAATCCTAATACTGCGGACGTGTCGCTTACTGATCATGTGCCATCATATCTACGCACAGATATATCATTCTCATACAATATTATTGACAAAATATGATTGGGTGAAAATTTAATTTTAACTTTAAATTAATCAATCATATTTTGACATATAATATTATATAAAAATGATATATATACAGCATTACTCTTTATTATTATACTAAACTTAACGGCGCCAATGTGCAATGGGCTTAAAAGCACTTTTTGCCGAAGCTTTTTCTTCCCTCCAATGGCGCCAATGTGCAATGGGCTTAAAAGCACTTTTTGCCGAAGCTTTTTCTTCCCTCCACCACCCATTTGCATGTGCTCTTTAATCCAAAAAGTTGAACAGTATATTTAATTAGAAACTGATTTTTATTTCTCAAAATTGGCAGGCAAGTTCCAACCAGTGGTTGCAGATGAATCATCTATGGGGAGCAAATTGGTGTATAATTGGGGGACCCTTAAAGGGACCATTCTCAGTGAAGATAACTACACTTTCAACAGGAAGAGCTCTCTCTGCAAGGGATGTTATTCCAAGCAACTGGTCTCCCAAAGCAACTTACACATCTCGCCTCAATTTCAACTTCTAATACTTACTCACCTCTTTAAGTTTAACTAAGACTAGTGCAATGAGCCCTTTTTATTTCACCCCAGTAGTAGCCTTTCTCTGTTGGGTTTTTCTTTTTTACTTTTTTTTTTTTAAAAGAAAAGTAGCCATTGGACAGCATCCAATGCTCTTTCTTTTTTTACCTATTTCTGTTTTTTGTCTAACTTCATTTGGTGCTATTATTAGTGTGCAAGTGTGTGTACTAGATGTTGTAGCCCTCTCCAAAGGGAGAGAGAGCGTATAAGAAATAGTATATGTTATGTAATGTAAGATTGTGGACCCTGTTTTGTTTCTAATGAATTTATAGTTTTAGCATTAAATTGAATGCGCTTGAGTTGTATTTGCAGACAGACTGAGCTTGTGGAGCCTTATTGGTCTTTTTGCAGTTGAAGCAAAATTAATTGGTCTCCGTTGGCACAGTGTTAATATAATTATGATAAAGTACTGCTGATATATTTTGGAATCATTATTTCCTGGTTACCTCCTCTTTATGTCACGATTAACATCTCATTATGACTATCTCCGAGATCAAATATAAAAACCCAGATGCTTTTCTATTCATCTCATGTAAGGTGTGAAATTTTTTTATTTACCTGATACATATTCTATTTACAGATGAGTTAAAATAGGGAAATAAAAAAAAGGATTATTGTTTAATACATTATTCATGTAATGCACACACCTAATTCAAGATTTTCATTGCAATTCCTGAGAAATTAGCGAACATTAGCATGACAAAAGCCCAAGTGGCGAGGGAAAATTAAACGAACCTACCACCATCAGAGAGATAGTTATACATATATATACCAAGATATATGTAGGTGTGGGTGATAGAATTCCTTTAGGAATCCTATAGATTTTTGTTTTTTTTTTTTTTTTCATGACTTTTGTCGTTTGAGCTCCATGAATGTGGGGTTTGTTCTAGTCCCGTGAGCTTAAGATGTGTAGTGATCTTAAATGCGTATGATATGGATAACAATAACATGATCTTCCTCACATGTGAAGTGATTCCAAGCCCCACCAAGAAGTAGCGCAAGCTAAGTATCTACGGTGGGTGGCGAGTGGTGACAAGAACACTGTGACCACCGCACGTGGAGGAGGATCCCTTTGAATCCACGCTGATTGGAACTTCACATTTCTTGTCATGTGAAGGACCGGACATGTGCAATCCCTTTTGGATAAATAGAAAAACTTTTTTTCAGTGAAACTTTGACAATCAAGCACCAAGAAAATAGAAATTTATACAGAAAAAAAAGTTGGTTCTTCCACGTGAAGAAATAAGCTCAAAGATTTTGTTACAGTTTTTCCATCGGGTATTTTATTATTAACACAATCCTTTGATTCTAGATTCTCTTTAATTTTAATGTCCACCGTTGTATCTTAACCTCCTATTGAATGCATTTGTACAATTTTTTATTCTTGCATCTGTTACCGTTTGTAATTTGGTAATTTTAGCAGGCTGCATCAAGCACAAATACAAACTAGTTTCTCATGAAGCTGACAGACTATTCTCCCATCCCCAGACCGAGATTTTACCTTTTTATATTTGAGATTAATTTTTACTGTGATGTTTGAGAAAGTAAAGTTTGATCAATATTACGTTATTTAATATATTTGGAAAAATGGTGTACCTGCAGGCATTCAATCAATCTGGTAGATCTAATTAATTCTGCTGAGAATTTGATCATCAACCAACGGAGACTTGGTCATCTGTCATGGAATTAGTTAAATTTTGTTAGCAACTGATTTTCTGGTCCGGATTCAGCTTTCACTCTTCAGCATAGTTTGATTGGGCCAAAAAGCCACCCCATTGCACCCTGCCTTGTATTTTTTGAAATAAAAGGTTACACTTGTTGGGGTCAAAGCCTCGAAGGCAGAGAGTACTATTAACAAACTAGAGTCCAGATATGCTGCCTGGATCAGTTCCCTATACAACATATTCTACCAGGTCAGCGACTGGGGAGGAAAAAGAAGCAATATGTCAGCAGGTTTACACCCCAACTGCGCTCTGTTTTGATACGAATTGAATTGATGACTGTTAATCGCCACAAGTGGAACAGAGCATTGCTGCTTTCTCTCAGTTTAATTGGGGGCAAGAGAAAGTTTCCATAGGGCAAAAGAAATTCACTCGTTCTAAAGTTATGGCAATTAACAGCATCCTTCAATCTCTTTATTGTACAAAATCAATCTAAAATAAAGAAACATCCTCCATCCACGAAACACACGGTTGATATATACCTTATTGCCAATAGGAAAGAGAATAATAAGCTTTCCAAATTAAATGTCCTCATTTTCTTCTCTAGGGCCATAAGACTTGGAAAGGGTAGAGCTTATCAAGGATTCAAAGAACGGAAATTAGAAAGTCAAATGTCAATGCTCAACTACCGAATCAAGATGCTCACAACTCATCACAAGAAAACATAAGTACAAACAAATGATGCAGAATATGCAAACTTCTTCAAAATTTAGCTACATAAACATTAAGTTGAAGAACCAAAAACCAAAAAAATTTCGCCTACAACATCTTTAAGCAAGTTAGGAAGAAAGCTCATCATAGCCTAACCTGCTTTTATTTTTCATACAGATTGGTTTGGTAGAGAATTCAGAAATACGGTAAAGAAATTAGTGACTATAAAATATGATGCCTCATCACAGAGCGATTACTGGCTCAGGTCTAGCAGCCTCTTCACCCTCAACTGATGCAGGAGTCCCCAAATTAAGTGTGTCAGGGGAAACTTCTTTAGCAGGTGATATGGGTGTGTTCCCTGCAGCAGCTACATCTTTAGTGGGTAATGAAGCAGGCGCACTCCCAGCTTGATCAGTTGGTGTACCACTTTTCTCGTTCTTAGCATCCTTCTCATCCTTAGCAACTTTTCCATCCTTTGAATCCTTTCCATCTTTGCCGTCCTTTGCGTCTTTTTCATCCTTTGAATCCTTTCCATCCTTGCCATCTTTGGCAGGTTTGGGCGGGGGAGGCATCATATGAGGTGGTGGTTTATGTTTTAGCTTCATAAACATTTGCCTCATCCTAGTAAGGTCAGTTGGTTTCCCAGGCTTTGGACCCTGAACGACTACGACCGAAGGTTTCTTGTCAGGATCCTTACTCCCTCTTTTCTTCTCAATATTAGGAACCTCATGAGGGATGAGCTCCGCTATTGCTTTCCAGTAATGTTGGTCAGCTTCTTTGTGGAACTTTTCTTGGTTCGCCAAGTAGAGCTACACAAAAACAGAAATTCATTTATCCAAGTAGAGATACAGCAAAAGGATGAATTGGGTCCTAACATTACCAAAACAAGATCAAATTAGACATATTCTTGAAGTTTTACCTTCTCTCTTTCTCTGTTATGAGTCTTGTTAGTTTCCATGTTGCGCTTTCTTTTCTCATAGAAAGCTCGTTTGTATTCTTCAGCTTCTTCAATGATTTGATTCCGCATTTCTTTCTCTTTTTTCTCCTTTTCCTCAAGATGGATGGCATTTTGACTGCACCATTTGAAATTAAAGGTTTCACAATCTACAGATATTCGATGCCTTTTAGCCAGGCTATACTGTAAAGAAAAGTGAAACATAATTTCTGAGTTTACATCTTTCAAAATTGGCAGCCTAAGATCTCAGATACCAACAATTCACCAGATGAAAGCAATTTTCCAATTGAATATTGTTTCTTTCCTTGACTACCACCTAACCAGCCATGTAAACCGAATAAAGTTTCTAATTCTAAACAAATAAGCAGACACAGCCATCAAATATTGCATGCAGTAGCTCACTATCTCACATTCCATGAGTATCAAAATGCATCATGCTCCATACATTATAAGAATAAACAGAGTGCTGAAGAAACTAACCGGCGCCACTCGCGGAGAGCCAAGCCTTCCTCAGCCATCATCTCGGGCGGAGGCAAAATGGGCTCGTCAGAAACGAAAATATTCTCATGATCACGATGATCAACAGCACCAACAACACCGTCATTCGCATTCACATAAGCAGACTCAAACGGATCATTCACACTGGCGGATTCAAACGGATGGTTACCGTTAGCTGACTCAAAAGGATCAGTCTCATGTGTGGTATCAAAGGGTGACACGTAGTTGGAGGAAGCGGGAGCAGGAGGAGAGGGAGCGAATGCAGAGTCGTAGGATTGAGAGGGAATAATGTTGTCGTCGACGTTGTCATGGAAGTCCAAGGATGAATGGGGTTGGCCGTCGTTGCTAAATGTGTCGAATGACTCCATTTCTGTTAGATTTGGTGGTGGTTTGGATCTCACTCTATATGAGTCAGACTGTCAGAGTTTATGTATGGAGAGAGAGCATTTTGTTCGGATCCAAAACGAAAATATGGATAAAAAGTCTTCGCTTTGGAACCTTGGAAATTACACTATCATCTAATCAACGTGCTTTATGTATACTCAAAATCAGCTTATTTTTTTGTAAAATCAAAACCCTTCGGTTATCAAGTCGGGATAGCTCAGCGGGGAGATCGTGAGATTAAAGGTCGAAAGGTCGCGTGTTCAATCCACCCTCACTGCAACTTTTAGTATTATTTTGCTTTTCTATAATATTTTGAGTTAATCAATATTTTAAAAACCAGACCGACTTGGCCGGTCGGTCCAACTGTCCATCAGCCTCTTTCCGGCCTGAAATTTAAATTTTACTGTTTACCCAAATCCCTAATTTGATTGCCGATGAACGAGGGGTTACATGTGTCAGAGTTAGATGACGTTTGTAGAGTGGAGGTTGGTGGTTAAAGGGGTAGTGTTGGATTAAATGTTTGACATCAGAATAAGCCAGAATTTGGCCGAAAAATTCAACCCAATATGGGAGTCACAACCTGCGAACGGGGGGCTACCAAGTGTCGGGGTTAGAGGGGTTTTGTAGAGTAGAAGCCGAGGGTTTAAGTGGTGGTGTTTGATTGAATTTTGGAGGCCAAAATTTGGCTAGAAAAATCAACCCAATTGCGACGGTGTTTGCGAGTCATGGTCAACGAACGGAGGGCTACCAAGTTCTGGGGTTAGAGGGGTTTTATAGAGTGGAGGACGGTGATTCAAGTGATGGTATCGAATTGAATTTTGACCATCGGAATCAGCCATAATTTGGCCTAAAAAGTCAAAACCCAAATAGATCATAGGGGTGTATTTGTTATATTTTAAACCTATAGGAGCTGAAAAGTTTATAGAGGCGTGTTTGTAAGAATTTAAACTTTTTAGACCACTGTTAAAACAGCTGTTTGACCGGTCAAACTGTGAATCGGAACCTTGACAGGGTCAAGGGTTGATTTGATTTTCAGATTGGCGTTAATTACAATGACCTTTCAGAGGTTTCATAACAATTTTTATTATTATTTTGCTTTTTATAATCAATGTTCTGAAAACCAGACCGGACCGTCCGGTCGGACCGGTTCGACCAGTAACCGGCGGCAAATCCAGTCCGGTATATATAAAAAACTGTTATTTTGATTTAAACCGGATTGGACTGCGATTGGACCACCGGAATAATGTCGAATCGTGGTCCAATCGCAGCTCAATCCCGCCGGATTCCGGCATCATTCGAGGGCAAAAACACGACCATTAGACTGGACGACATCTCCACAACAAAACCCAACCATTTTCAGTCGCCGTCGACCAGCCTTCGTCACTCGCCGTCCACCCAAAGTTTACGCGACCGTCGGATTTCTTTTGTTGATTCCGGCGAGTTACGGCGCCGATGGAACTCCTTAGCACCACCACAGATTCGCCGACACCTGTACATCAAAAGCCCCATGATTCCAAACCTCGATTAGCTGTCGATCGTCGCTGCCACCACCATCACAGGTCTCTTCGCGGGACAGGGGTGTTTTAGACAGATTTCAAACCTTAAGGGAGTATTATAGGGGTGTTTTTGATGAATTTCAAACCTTTAGGGACTAAAAATAATTTTACAGAATACAGTCCAACCGACCGATCCAACCGGTCAAACCGAAAACTAAACCCTTAAACGGGTCATAGTCCGATCCGGTTTTCAGAACATTGTTTATAATATATAAAGTTTACGGAGAAACTAGAAGGTCAACATTTTACAAATGCATAGATTATTTAAGTAAACATAAAATTTCACTCTTTTTAACTTTTGTTAATGCTGTATTAGGATTATTTCTATTACACTCTCTTCAACATATAAATTCACAAATTCGCAATTGGCTACTTATGTCTCTTATTGTCGAATTTTGGTGTTAAATTAATTGAAAGCAGGGCACAATGTGAAAATTAAAATATTTTGTAAAGTAAAAATATAATAATTGAAATATTAAAATATATATTTTTGTAAATTGAAAATTCAACAATAATTATTTTTGAACAGAAAAATTATGATGATTTAAGAATGGTAGGTCCAAGCCTTGATAGTTTTGTACTTTTTTCTTTTTAAATAAAAATAAATTCTTTTAAAAATAATATTAAATCTTAAGTATATTTAAAAAAAAAAATCTAAGTACTTTATTATTATTTTGAAATATTTAATACATAAAATAATATTTTATTATAAAAAGTATATTTTACCCTTCCTGCAATTACCTTTAAAAAAAAAAAAAAAAAAAAAGGGCAAAAGATATAATTGGCAAATTATGGGGTAATTGTCATTTTTTTTTTAATGTTAGAAGGTGAAGGTGTGGAAGGAAAATAACCCTAATGAAGCCTAATAAAAGTTGAAGGAACGAAGTGTTTATGCCTGTTGTGTGTGACTTTTCCATTAAGCTCGAAGAATTGTGAGGTTATAACACGATCCAGAACCAACTCGACTGTATCGATTGTCCCAACCTAACATAAGCTTGTCGAGTTATAGCTCAACCTAGCATAAGCTAGTCGCGACTAATCCTTACAGTTGTTCAACCAGCTTACAGATAACTCCAGATCTCGGATATCTCGGAAGGGAACATATTAACAATAATCTTTGAGCAATCACAGCGCCCAATCGCGAGAATATAGGAGTTACATTTCAAACTTAATTGTAATCTTTTATTTTCACTCTTTCCTTTATACAAATTCTGTATATAAACCCCCTTCAACGATGAGAAGGGGGTTAGCAAATATTTCTAGGACTGTCATTGTAAGCTCTCATAGCAAATACAAAAACAGTGGACATAGGCTCAAGAGTTCAACTCGCCGAACCACTTTAAAACCCTCTTTGTCATTTACTTTACTGTATTTTATTATTTATTCACTGCTAGTTACCCATAATCACGCACACATCAGTTCCGATCCCGTCAAGGTTGATCGGATCACTCTAGTTGGTGTATTTTTTTCATCAACATTTTGGCGCTAAAAGAAGGGCTCTGCCAAAATCTCATAAATTCTGGCAAACAACCTTAGTGATCTAATCAATCAAGGCCCAAAATGGTACGTACAAGATCAGAAGACCACTGGAAACCATGACAATGTGGAGACTACCCACCAGGAGGTGCGGCAAGATGCCGCTGGGCGTCAACCACCAGTGCTGCCAACTCAACAGGCCGCAAATAACCAAGGAGCAGGGAAGTCAAACCCCGAGAACGGTCAACTGATGGAAATGATAACAATGGTTGCATAGCGGTGTAACAGAAGGTGGCTGAGCTAAGAAATCAACAACCAACCGCACAGAACCTTGACCAGCCACGCTTTAGCGATATCACCCCAACAGGTCAGAATTTAGCCCGCGACCAATCTGGTTCATCGGCATCGAGGGGCGACCGGCACTGCCGACATCACAGAGTACACTCCACTCACAAGCGTGAGTTCTGTGAGCAAACTAACCTTGGGGGGCGACCAGGAAAACAACCAATAGGGGAAAGCAAAGGTAATGGTGGCCCACGGGATGCTCGACCTGTCTGGCGATATCCCCAACCTCAGTGTGTCCGTTTTAACCCACGCCCAAGACAAGCTCGGTCCTTGCAAGCTTGCGAGATGAGTCATTTGCGCCAATCTAGCAATAACCGACATTTTGGTTATAACCAACGTCGCGAGCAATGCATGATGAACCTGATAGCACCTACAAGCCTAGCCATCATTACTCAACCTCGCGCAACAAGGAGCATAATAGAGGGGGATCACAAGCAACAAATTTGTGAACTCACCTGCTCAAGGTAAGGCTAAATAGAGCCAGCCAGGACAATCACAATGAAGACTTGGATAGGGTGCAAAAAATGCTCAACGATCTAAGAGCTAGCCAGAACAATGCGGTGGAAGAAATAGTGAGTTGTCCCTTCACAGAGGAAGTTCACCAAGCCTTCCTTCCCTAAGGATTTAGGGCACCAGAAAGTAAGTTTGATAGGAAAAGAGATCTCAGAGACCGTCTCGACACTTTTAATGACCTGATCGAGCTGCACTAGATCTATGACTTAGTAAAGTGTCGCTACTTTGAGGTCACATTGGTAGGGGATGCCAAGAGGTGGTACAAAAGACTCAAGGCGAACTCCATCAGTTCTTGGCAACCATTCTCCTTGCTCTATTTATGACAATTTCAAGTGAGGAGACAATTCGCAATGTCGCTCAGCTACTTGAGCAACATTCGTTAAGAGAGAGATGAAACACTGACCTCATATTTAACAAGGTTTCAAAACGAGCAAGCAAAGGTTGTAGATGCACCCGAGTAGTCAATTTAGACTTGGCTAGTTGTAGGCATCAGGCCGCAAACAGAGCTGTGGAAAGAGCTCCAAAGTGAAGATCACGTGAGCTTGACAAAGTTTTACTTGATGATTGTAAAGCACTAGAGTAGAAAGCTCGCTAGTAGCCTTAGCTTGAAGCTCATTGCAAAGAGCCTCGGATAGGTGACAAGATCACTCATCAGACAAGCGGAAAGGTGTAGACCGCAATGACAAGGATCAGAATAGGTCCCAAAAGAGACAGAGAACAGATAACCACAAGGACATACAACCTTTCCTGTATATGTAGAATACACCCCTCTCACGCAAGACATAGCTCATATATATGAAGTCTCATATAAGGTTAAGGAATTGCCCGCTCCAAAAAGAATAAGGGGGCTTTGGGTAGA